GACCATTGAGTCTACGATTCACGTGGTCACAAGGATATCTGGAAAAGGAAACCAAGCTGCTTCTTGACATTAGATGGAGCATGTCTGCTTTTAAGTCTTTTTTTTTTTTTTTTCTTCCCCCCCAAAATGCTGTTTGTATAAGTTTTGCTTATTTCTGTTTTGTGCTTCAGTTTGTCCAGTGCTCTCTGCTTGAATGGCAAGATAGATTTATATGCTTAATTCTTGGTCAGGCAGAACTCCAGATTTTTTTTTTTTATTTTATTTTTTGCATCTACCGTACACTTTCTTAAAGGGCAATCAGATAATGGGTATGTTTTATGTAATTAAGAGTTCACTGTAGTGGCTTTCATTTAATATGGCTGTCTGGGAGAACAGGGCCTCCTTGCCCTGTATGATGTAATTTAAACTTATGGCATTTTTACTGTGTATAATATGTTGTCCTCTGTGCCAGTTTTGTACCTTATAATAGAGGCAGATTGCCTCAGATCGCTGTGGTTCTTATTATCAAAATTAAGTTTACTTGTATACTAAACAACCACAAGAAATTTGATTCTGTAAAGAATCCTCTTTAGCTGTGGCCTGGCAGTATATATATGGTGCTTTATTTAACAGAATACCTGTGGAGGAAATAAAGCACACTTGATGTAAAATTAATTGTTTTATTTTTATTGACATGATCAATTGCTATTCTGTGCACTTCATTAAACTGATTGTGATGACTTTTCATTTGTTTATACTATGTTGCTTCGGTCTTTGGATTTCTTATCAAAGACAACTTCAAACATGGAACAGGTGCAGAGAGAGATGATGATCGAATGTATATAATTGATGTAAATCTTGCTCCTTTTCTGGTTTACTGTGCATGAATGTTCAGTCACGCACTGAGAGGGATTGGTGGTTGTTTACAGTTTCCCGGTACGTTACACGCGGTGGTGTCAGAAGCCAATGGAACTTCTCATTCCCGATTTTAACCCGTGTTCAGTCGTGTTCTTCTCCTGTGCCACCTGCAGACGGGCTTCCCTTTGCCTCTGCCCTGCACCTGGCTGCAGCCCTCCTTTCTTGACAGCTTCTCCACCCCCGGAAATGCTGGAATGACTTTATTGCCTTTCCCTGTCCCATTCCCTCCTGTTTCCTCCTGTTATTTCTGAGCAATATCCATTTCCTGTGTGAGCCTGCGGCCTGTCAATGACAGTGGTTTTAGTATCTGATTAAACTCCATTTTCAGCTCCATTTTGCAGTTGCTTAGCTCATTTGTTTTTCTATTGTCTTCATAACACATCTAGGCCTTTTTTCTTCCTAATTCATCCATTCTGCCATTTAATATAGTTTAGGATCATTTGCTTCTCCACAATTCCATTCTGTGATGCTTTTGTGACTCCTCTTACTCTTTGAATCTTTTTTTTTTAACCTTCTGTAATTAATAATGTCTGTCTTCGAAGTTTAAGACTTTATATTCCCCTTTATTAGCACTTTTATTCCTGCATTTACAGACACTATATTGACACTGGTGAGTGCTTATTATTTGGACATGAGGTAATTATGTTTTCACTCTCTTCAGGAATAATTTTATTACCCTTTCTGATCTACTTCTCCATAGGTTGTAACTTCAGAGGAATCATCAACAGCTTCGAGTCAAAATTTCTACATAATGAATATCAGAATTCATCTGTCACGTCTTCTGCCGAGCCTACTGGTTTGTGGTTGGGTTAAGAAGCCTAGAGGCACGCACCCCCCTATTGATCTAAATATCTTTGAAAGATGGAGCAGCCACTGTAACCCTTTGGTGAGTAGTCTCAGTTAATTAATTCCTCCTATTTAAAATGTGCATCTGATTTTTGGTATGTTGTCTGACTTCACCTTTCAGCTGTTGCACTTTGGCTTTAGCTTCTCATGCAGGATGAGGTCACACTGTAATTCTGTTACTAAAGACTGGGATTCTGTCTTTTGTGATTTATTTTTTCTCATCATTTTGAAACCCCTTTTTGAAGTGAATACTAAGCATAACCAGTATTTACTAATGATTTCGTAAATGATACACCCTTCTTCCTCATTTTCCCAGTTGAACATTATCACTTCTGTGTTCAGCTGGTCACTGAGTATTGACCAGGTCTAAGTTATTTTTAGGATGTTTTCCCCTACACACCTGTGTATGTAATTTGCAATTGCAGTAGTGGTTATTTGGTATGTTATTGTCAATTATTTTCTCACATTTAGAATCCCACTAGAAGTCCATTCAATAACTGTCTTCCATTCACAAAGAAGATAGAATTTCAGGTGACCCTTGGGGTGACCAAACCTTGGGGTTTGGTGGCTCTCAAAACAGAGCACCTTTAGGCAGCAAGACCTGCACTATACACACAAGCCACCTTAGGCCAGCAGCTCCCTCTGCAAAAATCTAGGTCAACTTTGACAGGGTATTAAAAACCACCTTGGTTCGCTTTGATTAAATGATTATCCTGTAGTTCTAAACTGACTGAATTAAACACTAGCTTCTTCTATTATTTTACTCAAAAACTCTGTCAGGATTACCAGAAGTATCATTGTTCTTACTGCTCTTCCCTTGCATTACCTTCCAACTGCTACTATTCCTGCAATTTTTACTGGGATTTTTTTTCTACTATTCAGTTTTTTAAACAAAAGTAAGCAGTACCTGCACAAACTTGTCATCTCTTCTGTATCCTTGTTTGCACACTTCTCTTTCTTTTATCTTCCTCTCTGTCCCGCACCTTACGTGTTCTGTAAGTTGTGATTTTTCCACAGTATTTTCTCTTTCTTTTAATCTATTTTCTAGCTTCTATTTCTTTGCCTTTAAGAGTGCTTTTTTATCCCTGTCTCTGAACCCCCACCTTTTAACTGGATTCCTCAGTCCTTAAGGCTTTTATTCTCTTCCACCATCCCACTTCTCATTTGGTTGTTATGCATGTCCTCCTGGAAGTCCTACCTCCCATTTAACACCCCTTCAAAATTAAGCTTTTAAAATACTTTCTCTTTCCACTGTCCCCTCTCCTGCTTCCTGCACTCAAACTGTTCAGTCCATCCTCCACACTGATTTCTGGCTATAATCTTACAAATCTTGTCTTGCACATTTATTTTTCTTTCTGGCTGCCCCAGAGACCGGACTGTTGTCCAGAACCTCACCAGGTTATGAAAGCACAACATCACCAACACAACTGTCTCTTCTGTTTCTACTTTGTCTCTTCTTCCATGCTGCTCGCCCTCCCTGGAATGTATCCTGTGCTCATTAATCTCTTTTTAAAACTCAGGAATTCCAATAAATTCAAGCATATTTTTGCTCAAAACTCTCTATGTGCATCTCTCCCTCCTGCTGGTTTCCCTTATGTTAAGAAAATTTTTGGATAAGGAACTCTGTGCAGAGACTTATTTAGAAAACAAACTACATTTATGATACTATCATTTCATTATATGTGTGTTATTTATGTATGATACTATCATATCGTATCATTGCCATCATACTATGACTAAATGGTACACAATTCCTGACTCTGCTCCATCCAGCTCAAGGGCTAACACGTAGTTTAACATTCTTTGGTTTTTATTAAACCTTTGAAGAGTCTCTGAGGAGTAGGGGACATTTTAGCACTCAAGAACACATTGTTTTGCCTCTCTAACCTGGTGATTGCCCACTTTGTTATGGCTGGCTGATAGTGCCACAAATCCTCCTGCAGGCTGCCTGCTCAAACTGAAATGGACTTTTTTGATTTTTCTGAATTCCAGAATAACTGTTTGCAGAAACTGAACTTTCAGATTGGCAATACAGTAATGTCAGCTACGTTCCAGCAGGTGCCTGTGAAGATGGGGAGACAGGAATGCTGGTGAAGCAAGAATAACAAATGCCTGGTTTTTGCCTGCCAGGACAGTCAGCCAGGGGCTCCGTGTGTGTGCGTGAAAACCGACTACCCGTTTCCTATGCCCGGCTGCCTGCAAGCAAGAACAAAAGGTGGGTACTTCATGTTTTCAACATCAGAAAGCTTGGACATATTATCAAACTTACAGCTGTGCAGGCTCAAAGGAACAAGAAGAACACTGAAGATACGTCATCTTCAGTTCACTACCCTTTCCTTAAAGAGATGATGAGATGAGGGCTGGCTGGGGCTGTTCCTCCTCACGCTCTCTTGGACCTCCCAGCAGTTTTCTGGGGGTTTGGCTGTCCCACACCTGGAATGAGTGGTGCAACTCTGGAAACACAAGTAAGTCACCTTTTTTTTTTTTTAACACTGATGGCTGGCAATTGGTCCAGCTGATGGTTCCTGTTAGTGGAAGGAGACTCAAAAATTCAGACTAGCAAAACATGCAGTAGTGGGCACTTGAGACCCCAAGATGGAAGGGTGTTTTAGTCAGAAGGGAAAACTGGCAACACGTACTTCTCAGAGAGAAGGGCTGTTTGAAGAACTGTGTAATTAGATGTAACAGCCTACTCTAAAATACTATCACAAAATCTCTTGGATCTGCCACACACAAAAACGCTCAGCCCTGATCTGTCTTAAACCTAGATTTTCCATTTTTATTTAAAGGTTGCCCCTTCCTCAACCAATACCGTAAATCATTTTTGTATTCAAAATGTTAGGCTGTTCTTGAGTATTTATCCAAAAAAGTAACTAAATTTTAAGCATTCAGAGAAAGAAAGATGCTAAAACATGACATTTGTCAAGAGGCTGTTCTCCACCCTCTATGTGGACACCTAAACCACAGGCAGTGCACCATTAGTAACCAGCCTGGGCCTCTGTGCTGTTGCTGTGAGGCCTTTGTTCTTGTCACTACAACAAACCTCACCAAAGTCCCAAGCACGTGAGACAACTGACTACAGGATCCTCAGGGACCGCCTGACCCGTAGAACAGAGCAGCACATCTTTCCCTTCTGGATGATATAAGTTTATGTTTAGTAAGGTTGCCATATGTTGATGTCCTGTAAAAATAAAATATATGGGACTTCTACACAGATTGATTTAGTTTGGCAGTATCAGTTAACAGAGAACATAAACTGCATGTAAAATTACGTATTTTATTGAGCCAACCACGTTTTCCAAAGGCAGGGTGCCCTTTTTTGGTTAATTTGTTTCAAATTTGCATACTTAATTTATACACTTTTTATAAAGCATTTGAGAATTAGATTATCCTTGCTAACCTTAATGTGGTTTAAGAGTGACAATTCTTTACTTCTAATATCCCTCCTATCAGATTTCTCTAACAAACAGTTGCTCACTTTAATTTGAACTATGGAAGTGCAGAGGGCCAAAAATGATCTAAGTGGAAGGTTTACAGAATTGCAAAAGGAAAGCATTATTACTGTGTTTCCAAACTGTACTGTTTCCAAAATAAATTTCACACTAAGGTCAAGTAAGGGAGTCCAGTGCATGCAGTCTTAACAGTGGAAACCGTTATACCAACCCAAATTACATGACATTGTTAATTATCTTTCCCTAAAACTATCTACAGAGTTAGAAACAAATTCATTCTGCAGATAAAGCAATCTTAAAAAGTATTTAAATAGGCTGTAAACTATATCCCCCAGATTTCTTGAAAGATCCAACGTATCAGCAGTTTTATAATCTCTTTCAGTTTACGTGTGCTGGGCACCCCATCTCCTAGAGGGATTTAGTTTTGCCACTCGATACACTGAGTATTAAAGATCTACCAATGCTTCCTGTTGGTTCCTGGAGGTTACCTACCTCTGAGGGCAGTGCTTTACTGCAGCTGGATCGCTATTGCTCTCTGAAGTTAAGTTGCAGGCAAGCAGAACAGAGATCAGTTTCCCCAAGTAAAGCTGTTTATATACATAGTCCAACTTACTCGCCACCTCATTCACTAAAAAAATCCATAAATAATGCTTAAATTATATACAGTATCATATAAGTGGGTCTTTATTCTTCCCACAAATAAATTACTTTTTAAAAAAAAAACAAATGTTAACAACGTATAAAAAGTAATGCCCTAACAAAACTACAGTGCTGTTGTCATTCCATGCTGTCTTTGGATTGCTGCAGTAAAGTACGAATTTCTTCAAAATACTGCTTCTTCCAGCATTGTCTTGTACTTTCTTCATTAGAGACAGGAACTCCTGTGCACTCCAACTCCAGTTCTGTCTGAGCAGCCATATCCTTGAAATTCAAGGCAACCGTTGCATAATGTTCTGGAGGAAGAAAATAAGACATTTCAATAAAGTGGTTTTTAAAGGATTACATTTGTTGTTGCTAATTTTTTATCTGCTTTTGCCTGAGTCTGAGTGAAGCCTCTTTTCACAGCTGACAACTGCTATGGACATGAGGCTGTTTTCTGAAGAACACAGACTGAGTGGGCTTCCAGTCAGCCAGGCTGCCACCTGCCGCGTTCGTGCCTTCTCCCTGCAAAGTGCAGCCTCTGTTGGAGATCCTCAAAAGCACTCACCGTCAGGCCAGCTTCTACACCTCCACTTCAGGACGATTCTTTGGCTTGGGACCTGTAAGAAGATAAGAAGGTCCTCCTCATTAGTGTTTGAGATAGTTCCCATTATGACTACCCTCAATGCTAATTCTCCTCTGAAAAGTAAGGAGCATTATCTTATGTAATAGCAGACACTTGCATGTAAACAATACAAAGATTGGGGTTTGCTGTTTGGGTTTTTTAAAATAAACTGTTTTCATCAAGATCTCTGCTCTCTACAGTCCTCTCTTTTGTTTTCTCTATGGGAAAAGGTCAGGCTGATTAGTTACTAAATATAAAACAATGGTTTTACTGCAGACCTTGAAATGGGCAGAAGTAAGTCATGTTTTCACCTCAGGAATCGCCACGCATGACAGAGAGTAGGTACCCAGCCTGCTCTGCTGTACCCGTTAGGCAGTACTGCATAAAAATGATGTACAGCTGCCACTGGCTCCAGTGAGAAGGGGAGGTACTGATTACTTCAGCATTAGCATATGCATTAAATCAGCTGAAGTTTGGTCTAAATCAGGCTTATTGCTTTCACTAAGTCATTAATAAGTGGATATTTTGACTGTTTCATCTAAATAGTTCCTTATCTAAGGTTGATGCATATGACTGACTTCCCTCAGCTTCCATAATAGGATGCTCAGCCTGATCTGCCTTAAACCTAGGTTTTCCATTTTTATTTAAAGGTTACCCCTAAATCATTTTTCTATTCAAAATGTTAGGCTGTTCTTGAGCATTTATCCAAAAAAGGTAACTAAATTTTGAGCATTCAGAAAGATGCTAAAACATGACATTTGTCAAGAGGCTGTTCTCCACCCTCTATCTGGACACCTAAAACACACGCAGCTTAGTTACCAGGGGACCACTCTGAGGTGCAGCAGTTCTGCAGCGTGTACACTTCCAGCCTGAGCCCTTCATGGCATCAACAACAAGATTTATTAGGTTGAACTGAGAATCCAATTTTCTAAGGCTTTGCTTTTTTAAAAATTGTCCAATTGCAAGTGATACTTAATGCCTGTCACCTGGATGGACATTAAGGTGCCACGTCTAAGCTCAGCAACTGTGAAAGTGATTTTTCAAAGGTTTAAAAACCGGAGCTGAGCTCTAATTATCAATTTTTCCCTTCTATTTGCAAAAGGATTCCTTGAGGAGCGTGTAGTGTTTGCCCTGAATAGAAGAGAGATCATTTATCCAGTTACAATCTGACAGGAATCTAGAAGATAAACCCGCTTTCTCACTCCTCCTAGTAAAAAAGGATGGTGCTGAGAGTTTTCTCCCCCACTGCAGGTCGTTAAGTGCCTTTTGATAGGGAAGAAAAATCACGCAACTTAATAGCAATTTTTTTGGCTTTGAAATAGAGGAACTGAGTATGTCTTAGAGAAGCTGAAGTGTCAGAAACTCAGGCTACTTTTTAGCTCAGAGAAGCAGCTGACACTCCCCCCACCCTCCATTTTTGAAGTGCAAAGTAGGAGCTTTTTACCAGTTCTGCGTATTCACCGCTGACACAACCATCAAACATCAGCAGTTTGCCTCCTTTCTCAGCTTCGATCACAGCAGGACATTTAGAAAACTTCTGTACCAACTAGAAAAAAAAAAAATACAGCACAAGTCAGGTAACTACAAATCTATACTGATATGTAATGCATATTATGAGACAAGGGAGGCTTGCTGAAGAGATTAACTAAAGTGTAATATACCTAACAGTCTTTAAGCACTAATCAGGGGTTTTATTTCATACAGCACTCCGCTGAGCTCTGTGGTACTAGCAGGGGCTGATGAGGTGACAGAATACAAATAAATGAGAAGTCTGTGGTGGTAAACACAAAGAGCAGTAAAGACTGTACCTGTCTGCAAAGGGTGTGTACAAAGCATGTACAGATCCATACACACACACGTGGCTGGCTGTTGCTAGGTTGGAAATGAGGGAGACAGAGCAGGAGCTCTAGGAAGGTGCAAGAGACCGCTTAGAGCCATTATTGTTTCCCATGGATAGTGTTGGGATTCTAATTTAAAGGTGTCTGACAGCAAACCAGGCTCTTTGAAGAACACAAACCCAAAATTAGTAACTTTATATTTTGTGCCCTGTAAGCAAGAGTATCATCATGTCCAGTAGTTAATCTAATTAACCTGTGGATAACAACAGTGCTGTTACTGAGCACTTTGGGCTCCTGAATGACAAGTACTTACATAAAAAAAGCTAAGCACGATTGAGCTGCAGACAAACTACATAAAGATGCAGCTTCATTTTGTTTAGTTGGCTTTTCTTCCTATTAAGGTAACAACTGGCACAAAAAAAATTAAAAAGTCTAAGGCACTCTAATAAGCTCTCATTAAAAAGGTAAAAAGGAGAATGGTCCTACTGCCACCTTCCAGAGCTCTCTGGCTGCTGTCTCAAGGACTCGACAAGTTGTCAGTGAGGTCAGCTGCCCAGACTTTGGTCCTTGGTCGGAGACCCAGCTGACTCACTGCCTCAATTCTTCTGCATTTTCACCACTGAAATTCCTAAGCCTCTTGAAAGGTAAAGCTATTTAGCAAAACTTGAGGAGCAAATGATGACATTACAAATACTTAATGAAATTAAAAGAACAGGGTAGCTCATGAAGCTTTCAGTTTCTGGACAACCACATCTCTCCATTTAATGTATGTAAAGGAGTGTTATTACTTGACACTAAAAATGTGACACATGTATTACTACGCAACTATTCAGATGTAACAGCATCTGCATGAAGTTATAGTGCCTACTGAAACTATCACTTACTTCCTTAGTTGTGAAGATGCTATAAAGTTCATCCGCTGGAGAGCTGAATATTTCTCTCATAAGTATCTTCACTGTTGGAATTTTGACACCAACTATATCCAAAGGCTGTGGTGAAACACAATCCTGCAAAGCAAACAATAGTCACGTGAATGAGTGCAAGACCAACCATTTAAAAACACTGGAATGGCAGGCTTGCTGTAACCTGTACATTCTTAAACATACTGTGTTGTGAATAGATGTTAATTACAGAATCTACTTACATATTTGACCGTATTATTAATCAGTATTTACTAAATAAGTGACAAAACTAGGATTGTGTGATTTGCTCCAAAGACACCTGACGCTAACATTAGATTGGGGAATGCAACCTGATCCATGCAGGTGAATCCCAACGTCTCCTTGCTGAAGGTACAGCCGCTACAGGACAGAGCATTAAAGAGTACATACACGCCGTCCTGCAGGCCCCTGCCCAGCTCCTGTGACAGACAGCTCTGTACTACAGGCCCTGAGCACACCAATGAGGGGGCAGTTCCAACACAAAAGCTTTCACTTTTGCAGGTAATCACAGCAATATGCAATTGTTACCACAGCAAAATCCATAGGGGCTACATTTATGGTAATATTAAATTCATACAACACTTAAAGCCAGCATACCTGCACGGTGTTCCCACTTGGTTTTTGCTCTGCGGCCGGCTCCTGACCAACAGCAGCTTTTGTTGGCAGAATCATTCCCAAGGTAAACTCTGTAATAAAGAAAAGCACTTTTCAGTATGAAATTGAGCTGTACAACCACCCTGACATTTAGCTATGTAATGAAGACTGCTGGCCAGAACTGTGGAGAATGCAGGCACAGAATAGAACATACAACTCCAAGCCGGTTTCTCCCACGTTTTTATTAGCAACAAACCTAACGTGGGCTTTTCAAACCTACCTGACCCCGAATTAGTAATATCTGTCCATTAAGGAATGCACCATCTACACGAACATGTGAGCAGTACAGCAGAGAAGTGACCAGCTGAGGGGTTGGCCATTGCTTTGCCAGCCAACCAGCCAGCCTGCGGGTCTCACGGCCGCCTCTGTGGTCAGTGTGTGTCACACAATTCAGCCCGGGTTGCTACAGAAACATCTGGGCGCTGCCGTGTTTGACAGCAATAAAGGTTCTGACTGGTACGACAAACTTACTTCATGTGACAATTAAGCTGGTGACAATTAAAAATAAACACAATACAAACCCAATGACTTGTAGACTGCGTAAGAACATACCTAACACACTGGTTGAACTTACCTGTTTTAAGTGCTTTCAGGTAATCTCTCAGGGCCTCCCTGACTTTCATGGTTCCTTCAGTTCTCATAAGGTCCTTCAGAACATCACCTTCTCCCTTCTTTTTGCTAACGTTTATCTAGAAACAGAAAAATTACAATATCTAAGATGCATCAAACACAAGCATTTTGGGTTCTGGCAACAAAGGAAAGTATTCTGGCTTTGTTTACTATATTCAGAGGACAGCTGCAATTTCAAGTTCATTATTTTCTCATTTTATCCTACCTTTCCTAAAATAAGTCCTCTTGGTTTTGACTTAAATGTAGTATCTCATCTCCACAGTAGCTTAGTCAAGTTTACCAAATATAAACAGAGTTGCCTACTACACAGCAGCGGTTGAGGAATCTGTGGAAGCCACAGTATCAACTGCTACACAACCAACAAGGCGATTCTTTAACTTCTTAGGGGGCTGGGGGGGAAAGGGGGTGTTTCTGGGTTTTTAAGTGACTGAAACAAGCAGAAGTCTTCTCAAATTTGTAGTTAGTATATAGTCACAAACAATAATAAGCAAAGAAAATTGTGCACATTCCAAGTAGGTAATTTTGAGAACAGGGACAAGTCATTATTCCAAGGATAAAAAAATGAAAACATGAAATAAAACTATCCGAGTGTAATTATCCCACTAAATCACAGGATAAATCAAAATATGATGCCTATATGTTGATTAAGGCTGTATTTAAGAATTCTGAACCTATATAGCCATATCAGTATGTCACACCTACCTCTGTATCATCTACCTCATTTTCTTCTGACAGGTTAGGAATTTCAACAGATCCCTTATGTTTCTCACCAGACTCTTTCACTGTACCTGTATTAACATAACGAATTCTTAAATGCATTATTAAAAACTATTTCCCCCACAGCAAGAGTTTAAGCTTGGAAATTAGTTGTACAAAAGTGTTACTTGAAGTAAGTTGCCTCTAGAATCTGAATAAAAGGAACTAAATAGCAACAAAAAGTCTCAAATGTGGCACCGAACTTTCATAGCGAACTATTCTCCGCACTGCATTTCCCTGTACAGCTGCATGAAGGTAGGTACATGCACACGGGCACACCTCACTCAGCACAGCTTGCACTGTCCTTCTGCCACTGCTCTCACCTCCACCCCTCGGCTCTCCTACTGCTCGCTCTCCACTTACAACTACTTACGTCTGCCGACACAGAATGGGGAACTGAAAGGGGATAGGGGAAAAAGAACCTCCTCTTCCCCTAAATTTGTCTGCCCGTTTTTTAGAAGCTCCCTAGAATGCTAGGTATTCCTTCCTGAGTCTCTGAAAATCTCCCAACATACAGGCATGTCACCATAAAATGTATGTATCTATAATGGACAGGTATACAATTGGAAATTTTTAAAGACATGAAACTTCACTTGCAAATTTTTTAAAACACTTGTTCCTTCTCTTAGAGCTTTACCATGACCTGCCAGTAATCACTGTACGTGTCAGAAAGACTTTGCAACAACAGAAATTACGCTCCTTTTCTGCACCTTTCTGGGCAAAGGCCCGCCATCACTTACCTACACAGCTCTACAAACGTGTTCGGGGATATGAACCCTGCACTGTACTTCTTTACCTCAGACCTTACTGGGAAAACATTTCATTTATGGTCTGACACTTCCTTTTCTTTCCTCCGAAAACTCTCCCCCCTTGCTTTGCAAAGGCACTGTTGTTTAAATTTATTCACTACTCAGATCTCTTTAGCAAGCAATAGCGGAAGCATGCAGTTCTGTCCCAAAATCAGTTATCTTCATACTGTTCTATCACCTTCATTGTCAAAACATACACAACACAACAACAGGCTTTATCAGTCTATCAGCAAAACTCTAACACCCAAACAACCCAGCCATAGAAGGGGGATTATCATGAAGGCAGATGTAGTACTTCTTTGGATTCTCTCACCTTCAAAGCAGCTAGCTAGATCCAGCTGCAACTTAACATCACTCTCCTTTCATTATTTTAATTGCTACTCTCAAAGGACCACCACGCTGCAGGGGGCCACTATGCACAGATATAGCCTAACGTGCTACTGGTCAGGGTCACAGTAGAGCACACAAACTAACGCTCAGACATCTCTCAGCAAGAACAAGCGTTAGTGACACAAAGTGGAGCACGGCACAAAGATCCCTTCCTAGCCAGGACCTCCGTCCATGAGGCACAGCGCAATATGCAAAAGCAGTTAATCCAGAAATAGGCAACCACATCCACACAGCAAAAGGCTAAACTGGAAGACTCCTCTTGGGCTTCTCAAAGTTACCCAGGAGAACCCCTTAGCTGTAGGAAGCCATGTGAACTAGTTAATTACACCGCCCAATACAAATCTCATGCAGCCAGCTTAATTTTCTCTTTACTGCTTTCTCCAGGATCAGTACAGGCAACATCACAAAATATTGTCTTTGCAGATAGTAAAGCATACCTTATTTTCACCTACTCTCCCCAAGAAGAAAGCACAAGCATGCAGGAAGTTTTTAGGAGCAAAACGTAAACCCGACTTCTACCTATGCAGTTAATTGTATTAACAATTCTTAAAATAAAGATTCCCAAACAACCGTGGCCAGACAACAAATTTAAATTCATAAGAATAGACTAATTTCTTTCCCCCCTTCAAAAAATTGCTTGTCCAAGGGACAAATGCAGATGGTATCGGTGCTGGACAGCAAAGTCCAATCAGTTAATAAACACAGCTGGCTGGTCAACATTACGTAAGCAGAATTTTGGTACAGCTTTGCATATTTAGTATCACTGAAATGTAAGCAAAACTATTACCCTTTTATCAAACAAGCAATCAAATTGTTTGTTTGAATCCCACGGGACTCCAATAACAGACCTAAGAATAAACGATTTTTTTGTTTCCTGACTATCTAGGATTTTAGAAAATTAATAATGAAAGCACATCTCAGAAAGACCTACCTACAAAACCGTTACTGAAATACCTCCGTTTTAAAAGGACATACACATTCTCATAAAGCTTCCACCACAAGGTAGAATAATGCATTGAAATCCTCATTACATCTTCAAATGAACAACAGAGAGAACAGCCATTTTGCTTAATTTTAGTGCCATTAAGTACCCTCAGTTCCTCACTTGTTGCTCTGTAATCTAAATAGCTAAAAGGGCAATGTTTTTCCAACATCAGACTTCTCATACTGGCTGCAAATTTCAGTATTTGTATCATCTTGTTCTTATGTATGTAGATTTTAATCATAGCTTTAATTACTAGTTATCCTAGAAGGCTAGTAGATGGAAATAATCCCAGCAATTAGCAGTTTTAGCAGTTCAGTCTGAACTCTCATGTCTAACTCAGAACTCTGGGAAAACACACATCATGATGGTTTTGAAATGAAGAAAAAAACCACCTGTCCCAGCTCTTTTAGAATTTCACAGTATTAAAGGAGCTTCCTACTACACAAAGTTCTCAAAGATATTACCCAGCCAGTGTAACACTGAACTCAACCAAGTACCTAATGCAAATTAGAGTTGTCTACAGTTAAACACTGAAAAGTGTTTAGCAGAGGAAAAAGAATTTAGGAAGAATTTGTATAGAAATACAAAATACTGCATTTGCCTACTTCTATGCCTTATATACTGAAATAAAACAAAAAATCAACAAAACCAAGCTAACCTGTATTTAAAACTTAGATTATTTTAGTTTATCTTGAAAAAAATCCCAAAATATCAAAAATATTACAATTGATTACAATTATTTAAACTGTACGGATACAAACTGCACGACAGAGTATAATGTTTGCCTTCCTCTCTGTTAACGTTTAAATCACAATTGTAAGTATGTTCTTAGTTTATAACACACTTGTAGCACTTAAAACATAGGTAACTATCAACACAAACCAAAATAAATAAAATAGTACTTAAGTTCCCTATTATTATGGGAGCAGATCTCCATTCCAAATCTGTTCAAATAGAAGCACTGGCCTCAGCATCAGAATAAACATTAAACTCCCTGTCAGCCAAACAAGGAAAATACAGTCACGAAGAACTGCATTGGAAAGGGCACCAGGAAAAGGAGAAGTGTGAAACGCAGAGAGCCCACCGGAGCAGCCCACAGCATTATCCAAAACACTGATCCAGAGACTACGCTCCTGTTTTGTGGCACAGGGATTACAAGGGGAAAATTAAGTACAGCCCTTGGTATTCCCACCTCCTATAGTAACAGCTGAGGCCGGAGAAATAAGTATGGTATTTTGTGGAAGAAAAACCTGTCATTTGACAATACAATATCGACGTACAATTGCCCATGCAGGCCCTTTTTATCAGCTCTTCCTGCTTCTTACTCCAATGTGAGAGATGGTCCACAACTTGCCATCAAGTTTTCAACATCTAGTAAGTTTAAAGAGTTTCTTGATGTTACCAAGAGATTAATTAAAGAGCTGCCGTGGGACAAGCACAGCGGAGGCTGAACCTCCAGGAGCTGAGGGTGCGAGCAGATGCAGCTCAACAAAAACGCATGGACTCAGCCCTGTTATCCCAAATAATCCAGAATTATTTCTAGTTTCCTTATTTCCACTAAACAGTTTATTTCCTCACGTAATTCATTATCCTCTAACTTCACTCAATTTTTTGAAAAATCTGCACTTTTACACTTTGTGGTTCCTCCTGTTCCCTGCAATCAGTCGGCACACAGCTGTAATCTGCATGCACCAGGAACATGGAAGGACTCAAGCACACTGTTGGAAGCAATACATCTCTCACCACACTTGAAGTATTTAATTCTTGTGAAGTGACACGGTGACACTGCACTGATATGCTGTTAAAACAATGCTGAGAAACGTCTGTGGTTAAAAAAAAAAGAAAAAAAATGGCTGAAGGAGGAGGAAAACAGACAAGCTGGGGTTTCAAAATTATTTAAGCATTTACGACAGTTTAGGCCCACATGTCTCCTGCAATCCCCCTACAGTTTCCATCCACTGCAGCTCACTAAAACATTCCTGTCTTTTTCAATCCAAAGCAGAGGGCTGACTTTCCAAAGCCGTCACACCTGACCCCGCAGAGCAATCCAGCAAAGCCCCCTCTGCCAAGAGATCAACACGAAGGCAACCCCTGTCAAGGCACAACTCCCCACGAAAGCTGGGGGCCGCGGGTGGGAAAGCGGGGGGCCCGGGTCAGTGGGCTCCTCGCACCCGGGAAAGGTTAAACAAGCCCGGGGGGAGCCTCTCCGGAGCGGCTCCTCACCGGCGGCGGTGGCCTGCACCGGAGGAACCGCCGCCAGCCGGGGGCAAACGCCTCAGAGGAG